ATATATATATATATATATACACACACATATATATATATATATACATACATATACATACATATACATATACATACATATACATATACACAGATATACATATACACATAGATACATATACATATACACATATATACATATACACATATATCTTTGCATATATATGTATGCAAGTATATATATATGTATGTATGTGTTTGTGTGTTTGTGTGTTTGTGTGTGATGGAAGGCTGATGATTCTTCTTTGAGCCTAACATTTAACAGCCATGTTCTCAACATATATAATACAGCTATAACATAACAATTCGGACATGGTCAAGAAATGATAATGAAAACAAAATAGTTTCAGAATCAAATTTCCCAACCCTCATGCCATTAAATTAGCCTGAAAGGGAGCTAATAACATGCTCCCTCCAACCTGCACTCCATCAACAACCTCCAAATTTAGAGACAAATCTGCATTAGGCCTGATCTGAGAATCCAAAACTGCAGGAACAGAGCTTCGTTCCCCACCCACCACCTCCAAATCCCCCATTAAACACTCACCACGGCCGCCGCACCGCAAGTTTTCTCTGCCACACATCTTAAGAGGGTAAAGACCAAGCTCAGCATCAACCTTAGCTCGCAGATCAACCAGAAGGCTCTTAAGCCTGAGGATTTCAGCCTCAAGCGCAGCCTTGCTCTCCAATCTCCTCAACAATTGCTGGTTTATACAGCGCAATTTCTTCACTTCCTCCTCCAAGTAAGCTTCATGTGCCTTCTTCTTCTCTCTGTATTTCTTCACAGCTTCTCTATTGCCCAAAAGTCTCTTCTTTGGCTTCTTCAACTCGTTTTCTCCTCCTACATCATCTTCACCAGCGGAGAGGAGTTGTGTATGAGTGTGGTAGCAGGTGTGGGTGTGAGTTGGAATGGCTGGTCCTGGGGGGTTGCAGGTGTGGGTGTGGGTGCATTTCTTGGTGTTCCTCAATTCATCAAAGTTTAAACAGCTTGATATGGAAGGACTGGTGAAGAAAATGTTGCTGGAATGGTATATTTCTCCATCATCCATCTCATCTGTGTAGGGTAGTAATTCCAATTCAATGTGAATCAGAGAGAAAACGATCCATCCCACCAGCACAGAAGTTAAGCAGAATAAAAAAAGAAGAAATTTTGAAACTTGGGCTCTTTGATTCGCTGAAATCTGTAATATACTATTATGCTATTAGCAGATGTCAATTTTTTGGTTTGATGGTTGCTTCAGTGTTAGGTTTCAGAATCTGACTCTCTACTTTTACAAGTAAAGCTCAAAACAGATCATAGAATAAAAATTCGAACTTTATGGAAAAGTTTACTATTAAAATCAGAGAAATCTATTGCAATTGTCAGAAACTATTAAAAGTTCATCAGATTACGAGAGTGAAGCTCAGAGATAAAGCATCAAGCAGATAAGTAATTTCGGAGTCAGCAAGTATGGGGAAGTAGAGCAATACCTTGAAGGAGATTCTTCGCCTGAGGGGGACAAAGGATTCAATAATGGAACTTGGCGTAGGAACTGCAACTAAACTGAGGTGAAATCCAGGCGATGCAAGCAAGATGAGACCCCGAATCACTCCTTGTTTTTAGCCAAGCAAAAGAGCGATTCAACCAATTCGTACGAGTGTTCTGATAGAGATCGGTCTTTAGAGTGGAAAGTGAGAATCGAAACCAGGAATTGGCGTCAGAGACTTGCCGATGAAACGAATATTTTTTATTTTGTTTTATTTGTTTCCTGTGACATTTACATGCACGCCACTTAAATTCTTATTTATTTAAGGACATTTACATACATCCCTCATAATTTTTATGTATTTATGTGCATCAGGAATGTATGAGCATGAAACTTGAGGAGATCCAACAACGACTTGGAAGAAAGAAAGTGTAAAGAAAGAGGAATCACTGACAGAGGATCAAAGGACCCGCATATTTGACTGGATGCAATCCTCTGAACCGGGTAAAATATTCCTTATGGACGCAGAATGTCCGAAAGGTGCGAACATCAAACTCTTGTGGATCTCAACAGGAGGCCATATGTGCGGCGTCCGCACCTAATAACGCCTCCTGAATCAGGTGTAGACCACCCTAATTAGAGACTAATGCTAACTGAGTCAGGCAAAGAAATTGACGTGCCTATCTACACAATCTGATTTAGAGAAAAGAGTTCACTATCACCATCAGTCTCATAAATGCACTTGAAGCTCTTCATCAATGACCAATAATTGGCAATCACATAACCCACAAACATCTTAAAAGATCCCCTCGTCAAGGAATGATCTATCTATCAGGTTATGGTGATTAACCTTCTACTTGATAGCCTGGTATCATTTTGCTGACATGAGTTTCTCGTCTAGGTATCAGAGGTCAGGCTGGAAATAGGCAACAACAAGCAGACCAAGGTACCTCTGTCGACCCAGAGTCATAAAATATCAACCAACTAACTACACCAACTTAGCGTAGCCGATCGAACAAGTTTTGTCGAACTGAAACCTACCAAGCTCAGTTGACCGAGCTAGTAGGTAGCTGATCCTTGGACTCATATATGCAAAATACCTCGTAACGCCACCATTATAACAGACACAAACATGTAACTTCATATATTGTACATCTTCTATAATATGGGATCATTTTAAGAGAAAATACTAATCGATATGCCTTGTTACTATTCATTGTTATGCATTTCTCTCTCTCTTTCTCCTCTCTCTATTGCTTTACATTCTATCCCTTAAGGTGTGATTCACATGCAAATTAGGGTTCAACACCCTAAAAGATACAGTAAGTGTGGATCATGTCACAGACAAGTAGAGAAACACATGGAGAAGAAAACCACAATATAAACACTAGTAACATACAGTGCACCAGGCATTTTGTGCAATAACAAATCCAGGAGCTAAATGATGGATGCCCTTTGAGAGGCATTGGCTCGGGAAAGGAAGTAGAATCCTCAAGAGGAAGGGTCGATGCCTAACAACCGATGGGCATCCTTACTTGTGGAAATGAAAGGAAATTCCTAGTACTTTGATAGTTTTTGGTTGACACAGATGGATAGATAGTGGTCTAGGTGCACTAAAATCCTATGCCCGCTAGAGAATGTGTTCTTTTAGCAGATTTTTGTGGTTGAGCCCCCAGAGAGGGTCAAAATCATTGCACTGGAATCTTACAACGGTTAGACTGATCCAACCGACCACATAGCCTCCTTCAAGTTGACTGTATGTTTGTTGAGGATCACTAACGCACTGAAGTGCCGCCTTTTATTCACCATGCCGAGGGAGTCAACTTTCAGGTGGTTCAACGGCTTCTCACCAGAGGTGATCATCCCATTTTCTGACTTCAAGCAGATGTTTGCGGCGTATTTTGCGAACACTCAGAAGCCCTAGAAAATTTGCAAGCCCTTTTGTGTTTCAGACAAGGACAAAATGGGAGCCTCTGCTTGTTCATCACTTAGTTTCAAAAAAAGATTTGGGAAGTGTGGATCTGGAACCCACCGCAGCACTTGCCACCCTGGCCCAATGGCTGAAGGAAAGTTTGTTCCAATATTCTTTAGGCATGTAGAAACCAAATACTTTAGCCAAGTTGTTGGAGTTAGCTAATAATCATATATTAGCTGATGAATACAACTTCACCCCCATTTTCTCCAGAGCAAAGTCATCCACCCATTTGGCGGAACATTTTTGTGTCTCCACACATAATAAAACTTTTGGAAGACTTGTATCTGACCAAGCACAACATTTATTGAAAATTATACTAGCTTGAGTGGAGGAAATACTACTTTAAAATGGGTGTAATCATTCAAACGACAAAGATCTTTATAAGTCTACAGAACCAAGGATTTTTTCCATAACTTACGAGTGTAATAAAAGGCTTGTTTTATTATGGGATTGGATTTCTTACCAGAGCAAGCCCTCATAATTAATTACAACTATAGAGCTATGAGCCATAAGAAAACTCTCTATTAATATTATGAATTATGCTATCCAAATTGGTTGGAATTTCAAAATTGAGGTGTTAAAGAGGAATAATTAGAGTTTTGGAAGAATGAATCTCAAAAGAATGAGATTTACAATTTGATGATAGTGTGTCATGAAAAGACTTAGAAAAATGAATTTAACCATCAAGGGAAGAAGGTTTACTGGCAACGAGTTTTGATCGATTAATTGAGGTCAAAAGTTTAGATCAGGAATGATTAGTTTTACTTAATTTGAAGTTGTTGGAGTTTGAAAAACACGGTTAGGTAGGAAGGGTTTCAAGATGGAAGTGATGTCCTAAACTCCATAAAGAATCTAAATATTTGGACTAACCTAGAATTTGGGAATAGCACCCCTGATCTGGTTGCTCATGGCTTTCCGTCATCTTGGGAATGTTAGTATCCTTCAACTAAACTAACCTCATAATAAAAAAATCCTTCTTGGGCATGTGACGGGTTTCTTAGTTTCAAGGTAGTTTGAAATACCTGCTTTAGTAACCATGAGTTAATTCATACCAAGGCATTCCCTTTACTTTAGGGGAAAATATTTTTTGTTTTATAAGTCATAGTCCTTAAAACTAACTAAGGCACCTATTAAACTAACCTAGGTTTCTATACTTAGAATAAACAAGGGCCTATGTGTGATCCTCAATTCTTTTGTTTAAGTTGGTTATCCTAGAGTTTATGTCAAATCTGCCTAAGTTTAGTTTTTATTCTTTATGTTGGTAGATTTTAGATTTTATTTGGAGTTCAATATTTAGTTTGTGACCTGTTTTAGCTCATAGGTTTGTCAGTTGAGATAAAAATCAAGTTTTTCAAAGTTTAAAAATTTTTAATTAGTTTTCTAGGTTAGTGTTCTCTGTTTGGTTTTGTCCTTAAACTTTAGGTGTTTTGTTAAATAGAGAACCTTGTGAGAGGTTCCCTCCTTATTTATTTTAATCCATTATTTACTTTTCCTTTTGTTTAACACATAGAAAAAACTAAATATGGTACGTGTAAAAACATACAATATGAATGAAATATGACATAGAAACATAGTTTAGAGTTTAGCTTGGATTAGACTTGAGTTGGGGTTAAACTAAGGTTAGCTAAGATTTAGCTAAATTTAGCTTAAGATTGAGCTTGGTTCAGTTAGGTTTGATTGGGTTCTGAGCTAGATGTGAGTTGGTTATGAACTTGAATGAATGGTTGACTGAAAATGAGGTCAACACTATCATTTGCATAAGAGTGCCCCTGGGGAGGACAAGTGGAGAGCAAGGGATGAAAGCTCAAATGAACTATGAACTGGGTATTCCTAGCCTAATTTGAACAAGTTTCAGATCCGAGTTAGATGTGAGCTGGTTTTGAACTCAAACGAAGGATTGACTGAAAGTGAAGTCAACATTATCATTTGCATAAGAGTGCTACTAGATATGACAAGTGGAGAGCAAGGCATGATTCACGTTCTACTACCACCACCACCTCCCACCCCCTTGTGTTATGATGACAATCTGCTGCTCAGGGACCACAGGGAAGCCAACAAACTATACAACTGTGAAAATTGGGCTTGATATTCTGACCTTTAGCAAGGTCAATACAAAGAGCTCCCACTGCCCCATCATGAGACACCCAAGACAACCCCATTTAGGGTATCAATGATCGAGATAGTAGAGGCCATCTAAAACAAGGTGTATTTTAAGAAAGTTACCTTGATGAAGTCTTGAGCTTACATTTAGGATCCAAAGAAGTACTGTACATACCATCGGGGGCATGACCTTGATATGGATGATTGCAGACACCTTTGGAGCCCGATGAAGAAGCTGATCAGAGCTGGCAAACTAAAGGAGTTCGTAGCTTCAACAACAATAACCCCGCAATAGAGAAAAGCTCCAATAAAAGAAATTTTGACGAGCCAGTTTGAGAGCATGTAATTCGAATTGTTGGCATAGTCTCAACCATATTTGGAGGAGGTGGAGAATCATCTTGCTGAGCCAATCTGAAGGGGCTTTGATCAGGAGAATTTTGTGCAACTGCCTTCACCTCAAACACAACTCACATCCCTTCATCACTTTCACTGACACAAATTTGCCCCTCAAGTGATATCCTTATAACAACGCTATAGTCATTAACACCCCAATAAACAACTTCGAGATTGGTAGCATTCTTGTAGATACTATGAGCTTTATGAACATTATGTTCAAATCGGGTGTTTGACAAGTTAGGTCTGAGAACCGACTGATTGCAGCTATCTACCAACTCTATGGTTCCTCTGGCAAGAGAAAAGAAGCCCTGAGAATATTAGCTCTGTTAGACACCTGGAGGAAGAACAAAAAAATAATAATAATAAAAAGAATATGAGGGATTTCCTAGTGGTTGATTTTCCACCAAACTACAATTACATCTTCGGTCGACTAGTTCTCAACAACTTCAAGGCCATTACTTCAACCTACAACATACAAGCTCTCGGGCAATGGTGAAGTCATCATCGTATGAGGCAACCTCGAGCAGTCTCGTACCCGCTAAACCAGGGTAATTTTCCTTTAATAAATAAAAATCGGTAAAGCTCTCGGCAATGGTGAAGTCATCATCGTATGAGGCAAGCTCGAGCAGTCTCGTACCTGCTAAACCAGGGTAATTTTCCTTTAATAAATAAAAATTTTGATGCGGGATCAAATGATTTGCTGATTGAGTCCCTCCAAAATCATCGAGATGTCTTTGTCTGGTCAGTCGCCGAATGTTTGGGATATCGGTCGATGTAGCATGCCACCTGAACGTCAATTCAACAACCCAACATATGAAACATAAGATGAGATCTTCAACCATCATCTCGACCAAATATTTCTAAAAGGAGGTGAATAAATTACCAAAGGGCCGATATGTCCGAGAAGTCTAATAACACCCGACCTCAACATAAAATGAGGACACCACACAATGATTGTAAGTGACCATAACTAGACCTTTTTTTCAAAAGAAATAGAGGAATAAGAAAAACCCAATAGTTATATTTCAAGATGTCCTGACCCAACCCTTCAGCTCAACGTGCATTTGGCCATCATACAATCAACACACCACACAAATCTAAAGCGGTGACCAGATCCAAGGGCTATGCATAATTTCACAGTTTCTACGCGCGACTGAAGGGATTCCGTACGGGACACCTGCTCCGCCGGAAAGATTCGTGCCCACATGGCCGACCTCGGCAATCCATCCATCCTTCGTAGCATGAGCCGTGTAAGTCATTCCTTCTCACGGACCCACTTGTTGCCAGACCCTGTATCAAAACTTCGGTAGCTTCATTAGAAGAGGGAGGGAGACGAAAGAATATTGGGGTCGAGATTTAGCTTTTTTTTGTCTTTCGATTCGTAAGTAAAAGAAATATAGCTAAAATTTCTGTTTTCTGATCAGTTACTTTATTTCTTTGATCGCAATCTGACAATATTCTGAAAGTAAGCTCTGTCAAGCATTGTTCTTTGTTTTCTCCTGGCTATAGGATAGGATCTAGAGAATCCCTAGAAAGGATATTTGCTTATGGGGGAGTAATTTCAAGAATTTTCTTTTCTGGTCGATTCATGTATATTTGATCATAAATGAAGATAAAAAAGTTTTCTTTTTCTGTCCTGATTAACTAAGAAGAAATTGAAAAATGAAAATTTTAAATCAAGTTGTGTCTAAATCTTTTGTAACAGATTTTCTGTTATTTGTTTGTGGGAATCAAATAGTTTCTTTGCTTTTATTTTGCATCTTTCTGGAGTTCATGATTAGTTATGAAGTAATATATTCTTTCCTTAGAATATTGAAGACTATGGCTTTCTATTTCTTATGCTCATCTTAATATTAAAATAGATTAGTTGGCATTCTACTCTATCAGACTTTATGTCAAGCTATTCAAACTGCTTCATCCTATTAGGAAGTATTGGCGATGGTGTAAAATTTCAGGTAGTAGTAGGAAGCCTATATGTTGTGTATCAAATAGAACATTTAATTTAAAATGTTATGAATCTCATAACTTTATGGAGGCTACTGTGAAATGTTTACATCATTAATTCTTCACTTTAGGATACTAGCACATGGTATATTTGTTGTTTGTTTAGTTTCTACAGTTTTTCACAACCTCTCTTTATTTTTCCTTTTATTTTTTCATTTTTTTCTTCCTATCTCCTTATTTTCTTAAGGTCATGAAATGCATGTATTATGATCATAATTTGAGTTACATTACTGTCATGAGTGCATGATTATAGTTCTTTATGTAAAAACTGTTTTGTGTGATGAGCAGCTACTGTCTCATTTTTTCTATTAGATATTTCTTAATTTTATTCTTCTATGTATTGTTTTTTCTTTTCTTCTTTATTATTATTTTTTTTGGTTACAAATCTGTCCTGTATCAGTCTTTCCTTCTTATTTGTGGAAGCTTTATTCATTTCAGGACTGATATTTTTCAAGACATGGAATTGCTTCCTCTCAATCATCCAGTGCCATGCGATTTTTGTAGCTCTAATGTGAAACTCTTAGAGAATAGGTTCAGTTTGCAGCAATCCAAGTTCTTCCATTGCGGGAAAAGAAAAATTTCATCATCTGCTACAAAATCCTTTTTTAGTCAGAGGAAATCTCATCAACCATCTTATGAAATCAACAATTTAAATGAGAAAGAGGGGAATAAGCTGCTGAGTATTCTTGAGGGGCTTGATAATCAAAATTCTATTATGACAGGGGATGGAACTTGCAACTACCATGTAGTTGATGGAAATTTGAGATTAAAAAAGGTTCCAAAAATTGATCAGACTGAAAAAATTGTAATTCCAACCTTGCCCAATGATTCAAATGGCAATCATGGTTCTCAAATCAGTAGTTGCTATTGGGAATGGAAGCCAAAATTTTCAGTGCACTATGAGAAATCTGGAACAAAAAATATTAGTGCACCAGCTGTGTTATTTCTCCCTGGTTTTGGTGTGGGGGCTTTCCATTATGAGAAGCAACTGAAAGACCTTGGTCGTGACTATAGAGTGTGGGCAGTGGATTTCTTAGGACAAGGCATGTCATTGCCTTCAGAAGACCCAGCTCCTTGTACTCATAACACCAATTCTGAGGAGCCACTTACCAGATGGGGTTTTGGTAATGAATCAGAACCTTGGGCCAGCGAATTGGTATACTCCGTAGATCTTTGGAGAGATCAAGTTCAGCATTTTGTCGAACAGGTATGGTATTTTGGGTGTCAAATTTGATTATTTGGAATTTTCTTTCCAAATTTTCGAAAGCTTCTTCGAAAAGAGCTATTTTTATGGATAATTTTGCTTGCTCATGTTATCCCACTCATTTCTCTCCTTTTTTTTTGGTACATAAGTTTATGTTTGTTTAAGTGCTAGCCATCCTGAGGGAAAGTGGTTGAGAACTGAGGTGCAATATGAAAAATCTTTGTAGATTTTTCAACACACGTACAACTATTGAAATTTTATTGTATAACCATGTCCCAATCAATCTGTGTCCCTGCTTTATTTGGGGATTAAAATATAGGCTGGTCCTGTTACCATCATTAGCACCCTTGTAATTGAGATTTACAAGCTTCCATGGATCACTTTTACGTTGACGTATCTAATTTCCTGTTAACTAAACTGATTCATTTAAGCCTAAAATTAGATATTGTACTTGCCTCATAAGCCTTCCATATCGTTCCAATTACCTAGCAGGATCTGGAGTGTCCATTTATAAAAACGATGGAAGGGAATGGAAATATTCTTTTGAAAAAACCAATATGATTTGATGCTAAGATTTAAGGTGTTGAAGAAGCTTGATATTCAGTGTGATCCCTTTTCTTATCATGTGTGGCAAACCATTGAGACAATTAAAAGCCCTCTTGATTACGTTTGACTCTCTCTCTCTCTCTCTCTATATATATAGATGTTGAATTTGACAAGAACTATATAATTTTATTGATAGAAGGAAGGGTATTTAACCCCAATTACAATATACATAATAATGAAAATTAATAAAAACAGAATAAAATAACAATGAAAGAAAATAAAATAGAATAAAGTAAAAGAGAAAAATATACCTAGAGAATAAAATCAAATAATAAGTAATAATAGTGTAAGGATATCCGTTATAATCTGATACTCCCCCTTAAGTTGACGTATACATGTCAGACATGTTCAACTTGGACTTGAAGTTATCGAACAAAGGGCGGGACAAATTTTTGGTAAGAATATCTGCTAGTTGACCACTGGAGGGCATAAAAAGAGCATAAATTTTCCTGGACTCAATCTTTTCCTTAATGAAGCATTTGTAAATCTCTACATGTTCTGTACGATCATGCTGGATTGGATTGTGACCAGAGCTGATATAGGCCTTATTATCACAGAATAGCTGCAGTGAGACGGAGGTTGGCATACAAAGTTCACGGAGCATGATGCATAACTAGAGGATTCCACAGATCCCCAAGGACATTGATCAAAATTTAGCTTCAACACTACCTTGGGCAACAAAGAATGTTTTTTGCTTTTCCACGTGACAAGATTTTCTCATACAAATGAGTAATTCCCAGAGGGAGAACGTCGATCATGAACCGACCCGATTCTATTAACCCTATTAATATCTTATAAATAACAATAGACCGAGAGGTGTGATGAGAGAAAAGTAGACCTGAGCCCGGTGTACCTTTTAAATCGTGGAGAATCCGGTGGACAGCTTGGAGATGACGCTTATAGGAGTCATGTATGAATTGACTCATTATACCAACTGCGTGGCATATGTCAGGGCGAGTATGGGCGAGGTAGAGGGCTTTCTCACAAGGCACTGGAAGTGTCTTATTGACAGAAACAACTTTGGGAATGTCATATATTTTTTCATTGGGATCTATAGGGACAACTACAGGTTTGCACAGAAAAAGATTATTCACTGTACAAGAGAGATCCCAAGTCCTTCATTTCTAAGGACTTAACAAGAATGTCTTTCAAGAACTCCAATGCTGGGAGATCGTTACTTGTAAGAACAATATTATTAAAATAGACAATAATGATAGCTACCTGGCCATTGGAGGAATGCCAGAAGAAGAGTGTGTGATCTGATTGAGTCCAAGTAAAACCATGACCCACAACAACCTTTGTGAATTTGTCGAGTCAGGCTCTTGGGGATTGCTTGAGCCCATAGAGAGACTTTCGCACCCTGCATGCTCGCTCTTTGGAAGCAGAAGAGTCAAAGCCAGGAGGGAGAGACATTTATACCTCTTCTGTAAGCTCTCAATTAAAGAACACATTCTTGAGATCGAGCTGGAATAAAAGACTAATTGAGATTCACCGCAAGAAACGACAAAACCCGATTAGTGTTTAATTTAGCCACTGGACAAGTGTTTCATAATAGTCAACTCCGTAGGCCTGAGAGTATCATTTGACGACCAATCATGCATTGTTGCGTTGAAAGGATCCATCAGAGTTGAACTTGGTGATGAAAATTCATCAGCACCTCACAACTTTCTTACCCTGAGGAAGATCAACAACGTCCCATGTATGGTTCTGCTAAGGACATTCATCTCCTCTATTACTGTAGCTTTCTAGGCTGGATCAACAAGAACAACCTCAATAGTAACTGGGATCTAATGGTTCGTCAGGGCAGTAGTAAATGCTCTGTAGATCGACTATAAATTGTGAAAGAGGCATTTTGCCATAGAATAGAGAGAGCATGTACCTTACTCGGAGAACTTGCCTCCTCATTCGGAGGAGGGGTCATGCTGAGGATGTCGCTCGAAGTGGAGTTCGGTAGCGGGCTTCAGAGTAGGAGCTGCGGAACCGGTGCGTCGAGTGTAGACATGGATAGCGGGAGGAGGAGATGGTGCACTCACCGAATCAGAGACTCATCAGATGGTGCACTCATCGGAATAGGGGACTCAGTGGCAGGAACAATGAGGGGAACATCCATAGGAGTAGGATAAGGGACAATGTCTAAGAACCCAAACTTCCCCTCACTTTGGGTCGAGCTAGGAAAATAGAGAATACTTTCAAAGAAGGAGACACCAACACTCACATATATTTTGCTATTGGAAGGATCAAGGCATCGATATCCCTATAATGGCGAAGTACCCAATGAAAGTATATTTTATGGATCTGAGATCAAGTTCCAATTGGGGATAGTGTTCCGAATAAAAGCAGTGCACCCAAAAATCTTGAGGTCTAAGGTGGAGAAGACCCGATTGGCAGGAAAGAATGACATCAAGACGACTAGGGGGGTTCAGAACTTATGAATTTTAGAAGGAACTATTTATGAGACGGGTGTCAGTGAGAATGACATCGTTCAAAAATCATTTCGGAATATTGGATCGAAACTTAATGGCGCGAGCAACGTCGATGAGGTGGTGGTTTTTTTCTCTCGGCTACCCAATTTGTTGAGGAGTGTCCTAACATGAACTATGGTGGAGGATGCTTTACTCACTAAGAATTCACCCAAAATAGAGTTGAAAAACTCATGACCTTTGTCAGTCCGAAGGACCTGAATGTGAGTTTTGACTTGAGTTAACATGAATGTGTACAAGTTTTGGGAAGTGTCGACAACCTCCGATTTGTCTTTTAAAATGTAGACTTACGTCATTCGAGTGAGGTCATCAATTAAAGTCAGGAACCACCGTTTATTGGTGTAGGTGAGAGTGTGAGAGGGTCCCCATAGGTCAATGTGAATGAGAGAGAAATGAGTGGAAAGTGTGCAAGCGTGGGGTAGGAAATAGACCCAATGATGTTTGGCTAACTGACATGTCTCACAATTGATATTGAAAGATTTTTTCTTGAAAACATCAAATGATATAAATTTTTTAAATATTGGAAACTAAGATGAACTCAACGACAATGCAATAACATAACAAGACATTCAATGATTCAAGATAAACTACAAATCTTGAGAGTGTGTCATAACTCTCCATGCTCTCCTCTTGGAAGTATTAGAGTTCGATGACCCTCTTAGCAGTTTCAATCATACTCTCCGAACTACGATCCTGAAAAATACAAACATCAGAAGAGAAATTAACAATACAATCAACATCATTTGTTAACTTGCTGACATATAACAAGTTACATTGTAATTGAGGAATATGTAAAACAGTGTCAAGAGTTAGATCAGTTGTTAGTACAACCGATTCTTTACCAGCGATGGAACTACAAGAGCCATTGACAATTCTGACGGTATCCTTTCAAGAGCACAAATATTAAAACGAGAAAACTTGTGAGCATCCAGTTATGTGATCCGTGACACTTGAATCAATAATCCATGGGCTAAAGGCGGAATAAATCATGAAAGTCATAGGAGTGGGAAGTCAACGAATCCGTAGAGACTTGATGGGCTTCAAATAGCTTGATGAATTGCTCCATCTAGCTTCTCAGGGATTCAGAGGGTTTTTGGATGTTCCTGCTTATGAGTAGGTTGAACTGTGGTATAATCGAACATTGCCGTTAGGCCCTTGGTAGCAGAGGATCTGACCGAAGGTTTGTATGTTCGTTTACCATGAAGTTTCCAACACTTGTCCCAGAGTGGGTTGGGTTGGCGACAGTAAACACAGGTGGAATGACCGGTCCGAGGTGGCATGAACAAGGGTTGAGCGCGATTCGAGATGATTTTTACTAAGCCAAAACAGATGCAACTAGGATTTGTAAGTCATCGGCTGATGTATAATGACAAGAAAACTGCAAGAATGCCGCAGGAAAGATACAAGTAAGTTGCAGGAAAGATGCAAGAAGGTTGCAGGAAAGATGTAAGAAAGCTGCAAGAAGGCTATAGGAAAGTTTGCAAGAAAACAACATAAAGAAGCGGAAGAAGCCATGCTGCAGTGAATCCGCTGGAAGAAGCAGGGAATCAGATGGATGGATGGATGGAAGAAACAGGGAATCAGATGGATTGATGAATCGATACGGACGGACGGACAGACGGACGGGCGGACCGGAGGACGAACGGGCCTGTGTGCGTGCAGGCGGGCGGACAGGCGGACGAATCTATCGGTCGATCAGAATAGTTGGATGTCGATCAGAATAGTTGGATGGATGGATGGATAGATAGATGGATGATCATTCATTTTCCCCTCAACACTTCTAGCTAAGACAATACATTAGCCACTTAACCTATTCTTGAAAGCACAAAGGCCACACCTTTTTCTCCTCATTTATTTATTTCTTACTCACTTTTTCATTGTTTAATGGCCATGAGCAGTCTTGTTGCAAAGATGTTGGTCCATAGAGAGATGGATGGATGGATGGATGATCATTCATTTTCTGCTCTTAAACACCTCTAGCTAAGATGGTACATTAGCCACTCAACATATTTCTTGAAAGCACAAAAGCCACACCTTTTCTCCTCTTTTTTTTATTTCTTACTCACTTTTTCATGGTTTAATGGCCATGGGCAGTATTGTTGCAAAGAATAGATAGATAGATGGATGGTCATTCATTTTCTGCTCAACACCTCTAGTACATTAGCCACTTAACTATTTTTTGAAAGCACAAATGCCACACCTTTTGTCCTCATTTATTTATTTATTACTCACTTTTTCATTGTTTAGTGGCCATGAGCAATATTGTTGTAAAAAAGGCGGTCAATCTCTGTGAGAGATATGTATAGATGGATGAATGGATGGATGGTCATTCATTTTCTGCTCTTCAACACGTCTAACTAAGTACATCAGCCATTTAACCTATTTTTTGAAAGCACAAAAGTCACACCTTTTCTCTTCATTTATTTATTTCTTACTCACTTTTTCATGGTTTAATGGCTATGAGCAGTATTGTTGCAAAGAATAGATAGATAGATAGATGGATGGTCATTCATTTTATGTTCTTAAACACCTCTGGCTAAGATAGTACATTAGCCACTTAACCTATTTCTTGAAAGCACAAAAGCCACACCTTTTCTCCTCATTTATTTATTTCTTACTCACTTTTTCATGGTTTAATGGCCATGAGCAGTATTGTTGCAAAGATGGTGGTCCATAGAGAGATGGATGGATGGATGGATGATCATTCATTTTCTGCTCTTAAACACCTCTAGCTAAGATGGTACATTAGCCACTCAACATATTTCTTGAAAGCACAAAAGCCACACCTTTTCTCCTCTTTTTTTTTTATTTCTTACTCACTTTTTCATGGTTTAATGGCCATGGGCAGTATTGTTGCAAAGAATAGATAGATAGATAGATGGATGGTCATTCATTTTATGTTCTTAAACACCTCTGGCTAAGATAGTACATTAGCCACTTAACCTATTTCTTGAAAGCACAAAAGCCACACCTTTTCTCCTCATTTATTTATTTCTTACTCACTTTTTCATGGTTTAATGGCCATGGGCAGTATTGTTGCAAAGAATAGATAGATAGATGGATGGTCATTCATTTTCTGCTCAACACCTCTAGTACATTAGCCACTTAACTATTTTTTGAAAGCACAAATGCCACACCTTTTGTCCTCATTTATTTATTTATTACTCACTTTTTCATTGTTTAGTGGCCATGAGCAATATTGTTGTAAAAAAGGCGGTCAATCTCTGTGAGAGATATGTATAGATGGATGAATGGATGGATGGTCATTCATTTTCTGCTCTTCAACACGTCTAACTAAGTACATCAGCCATTTAACCTATTTTTTGAAAGCACAAAAGTCACACCTTTTCTCTTCATTTATTTATTTCTTACTCACTTTTTCATTGTTTAATGGCCATGAGCAGTCTTGTTGCAAAGATGTTGGTCCATAGAGAGATGGATGGATGGATGGATGATCATTCATTTTCTGCTCTTAAACACCTCTAGCTAAGATGGTACATTAGCCACTCAACATATTTCTTGAAAGCACAAAAGCCACACCTTTTCTCCTCTTTTTTTTATTTCTTACTCACTTTTTCATGGTTTAATGGCCATGGGCAGTATTGTTGCAAAGAATAGATAGATAGATGGATGGTCATTCATTTTCTGCTCAACACCTCTAGTACATTAGCCACTTAACTATTTTTTGAAAGCACAAATGCCACACCTTTTGTCCTCATTTATTTATTTATTACTCACTTTTTCATTGTTTAGTGGCCATGAGCAATATTGTTGTAAAAAAGGCGGTCAATCTCTGTGAGAGATATGTATAGATGGATGAATGGATGGATGGTCATTCATTTTCTGCTCTTCAACACGTCTAACTAAGTACATCAGCCATTTAACCTATTTTTTGAAAGCACAAAAGTCACACCTTTTCTCTTCATTTATTTATTTCTTACTCACTTTTTCATGGTTTAATGGCTATGAGCAGTATTGTTGCAAAGAATAGATAGATAGATAGATGGATGGTCATTCATTTTATGTTCTTAAACACCTCTGGCTAAGATAGTACATTAGCCACTTAACCTATTTCTTGAAAGCACAAAAGCCACACCTTTTCTCCTCATTTATTTATTTCTTACTCACTTTTTCATGGTTTAATGGCCATGAGCAGTATTGTTGCAAAGTTGGTGGTCCATAGAGAGATGGATGGATGGATGGACGACGTTTAGTGTGTCCAAACCATCTAAGACGACAATGATTTTTTCGACAAGTTTTACGCTGGCTGTCTCAACCCTTCACTTTTCACATCCGGCTTGGGACCGGCAATGACAGAAATTCTCTTAAGAGCTTGAGTGTACTTCACATAAAATAGATCACAAAATTTTTTATGATCAATTTATATAAAAAAATTTATAATTCTCAAATTTTATGATAGTTTATACTTTAATATAGGTCCCTTATATATTATAGTTATGGATGCTTTTAAATCGTAATAAAAGAAGTTCATTAAAGAGATGAGCATAATATTACCTAGTATCTTCATTAGGCAGCTCAAGCTATTGAAGTTGTATGAGTAGGTGTAGTCTTTGGAGTTGCAACATTCCTCACATCTACCTCATTGATTCAATTTCAAACCGTCATTTTTTCTTTGGATCTCTTCTTAGAAATTAGACTCCTTCCTCGTCGAAATCATTAAGGCACACACTCAAATCCAGATTTGAATGTAATCCTAGCATCAATTGGCAGATCCCTAAAAATATCAAACATATAAGTTGTATCTATTTGCTTAATTATACAAATACATTAAGTTCAAATAATTAAAAACAAAATCCCAGTTTTTCACTTGTTGGCTGACGTGGGAGGGTTAGTATTGAATTTATCATATTATTTGACAAAGATCTGAATGTCATGGACAAAGTTTTTAAAGCTAAAAAAATATTGTTCTTTCTTGACACATAGGCTGTGTCGATCATCCTATCCTTTGAAAGCTTAGTCAATCGAGTTTTAATTGGTCATCCTTTGATTGGTTTCACAAAAATGTACATGCCATTCCATCTTTTATCTTTGATAGAGACTCTTTATTTTAATGTTTTTTGATGTTTAATGCATTAGACCATCCTTGAAGCCCTTCAACTTGAATAGAGCTTTAAATACTCATGGAAGAAGATGATGAAGAAGATGCAGGCTTGCAAATGAATTTGACATCACTCGAGCAGGAATATATTTTTTAGAAGTTTAGAATTTCAGTAATCTCAGGATAAAATAGAGAGAGAATTCCTGTAGCTGACCCTACTTAGTAGGATAAAAGCTTGTTGTTGCCATTGTTATTTGTTATTGTAGTTTTCTCAGGATAAAAGTAGAGGTTGCAGCCCATGTCAAAATTGATCCTTGTGTAAGTACGATTCATC